CATGCAGTTGTTTTAGTCATGTTTGATTTCATTGGCCCGGTTTGGGATCGAAGCCGGGATAGCACAGACGGAACTCACACATCCTGAGCACCTAACTGTGAGACAGCTAAACTACTTCCGTAGCCTTTTCCATGCTGACAATGACTTTTTATCATGTTTTTGTAACGACTTTAGGTTATAGTAAACGACCGTGTTTCCCCCGAGCGGACGGTTTGGTCCTATTTGGTGGTCAGCCAATAATACTTAGGAGGTCTTCAGACCTCAGATGCTTTAAAAACCAGTACATGGGTAGTCTTTTTTGGAAGGAATACATTAACTTCAGATTCAGGTTCTTCACAAAATGAACACTCACACTTGTTGTAAATTCCTTATTGAACATACGGGTAAAAGCGAGATTTGGGTATTGTGGGCAATCAGTATAAAAAGGTGAATTCATCATCCGTGAATAATAATAATGGAAAGTGTGAGCGTAAAGTCGCGGTTGCTGGGCACAAGAGCAACACACTCCTGTTAGATCAAATAAAAACAAATTTGGGTTTTGTTCATTATCGGTCACTTGCATCTTAGAGCAAGCGTGCCACTTCGATTGTCTGTGTGGTTGGTGGATGACAAATTGGATAAATATAATGAGGTTTCCACGATCAACTCACAGATTATAGGTTAGGAAAACCTATTCGAAAGAGATGCTTTTTGGTCCATTGATTTGATATTAACCCTTTTTCGAACTAGAGTACTTTTACGCCAAATAATAAAGCAAGACTGTCAATCGGTTAGACAAGTGCGCCCTAGTTGTCACAAGCAGCAAGTATCTCTTATGTCGCGATGATGTAATATGATATGATACCTATACGGATCGCATTTCAGGGAACTGATATTCTCTATGCAAAACTGGTGACACTATACGAAGGCAGACCGAAAGACTACTAGTCTAATTTACTAAACAATATGGAGATCAGTTTCGCGGAAAAACGATTTGAATAAAATAGTGACACAAACTCATACATCAAAATGCCCTGAATCGCTTAGAAACGCTTAGAGAAAGACCGAGCTCTAACTCTGTATTTTGCCCGGAAAAGACATCCAATAATTAAATGTGAATATAATTCTGAAAATGAATTTTACATCATGGAGTAAAATTTATCAATGCGTGTTGTTGGTGTTGTGTGTTCTTCCAGCTCGGAGATCACACCAACAACGACGACATCCACGTCCCGAGCTACAATCGTTCGACATTATTTAGAAACACATGTTCCTTCATTGGCGTCGGCGTTTCTAATTTAGTCACTCGGTTAAACGGAGTTGTAATCTCAATTCTTTGAAACCATTCACACAGGGATCGTATATCGGAAAGTCATTTTACCCTCGTTGACCTCCTATTCGCTCATGATTTTACTAATCACCTTCCATTGTATCGCAATTGTCACGATTTTATATCAGTCCTGTCGCCAATAGATCAAAAACATAAACAATGTTTTACATGATTAAAGGATACCTGACTTGAAAATGGCTTAGCACTAGGGTGTATACACCATCCTTGAAAATTGGGTATCAACACAATGACCTACTCCATTATTATAGGTGCTGATAGAACTCGTGCAACGCTCTGACTTCCTTCGGATTTCTTCCCCCAAACGCCAAGCGTTTGATGCCTCATTCACGCCAGTATGGTGTATGCTATTACCACACAAAGATACAACAAATCGGTTACACAAATCGGTCCACTTATGTTGATGCTTCTATTAGTCGAACGCCATTTAAATGTACCATTTCTTAATTTCGAGGACGAATGCTAGCGAACCAGGAATAAGATAACGGAACCCCATCCGCGAAACGTCATAAGAATTTATTTTTAAAAAATTATTCACAAGCATGACAGTAGTAATTTTATGGTAGTAATTTTATTTTGTCAGTACCCTGTGTGCCCCTTTTTATTTTTGAGCACTTAAACCAGTCAATTTGACTCGGAGTCCGCCAAATTGACAATCGAATCACACTTATCAGTTTCATCTGATGCAAACCGCATCCTGACCCTTGACGATTAGTAGCTAACTTATGTGTTTCCAACACAAGGGAGTGGTCTTCGATTACAATCGGATCTTGGCTTTGGGGCAGTAGCTGAAGGAATTCGACTTTGAAAGATGCCGATCCAGAGATTGCATAGTTATGAAAAAATAGTATATAATTAGGTCTTAAATATTTCTGTCATAAATCTCACGTGAGACGAAACATTGTAAAGGGAAATTGTCCTCAATTCTCTGTGCTTCCTTATCTGTTATCCGTAAAACGCAGTTTGTGAATAGATGAAAAAACCTGAAAATCAAACAATTTCGTACTACAATTTCGGACTACATGGACAGATAGCAGCTTGGTTCCGTTCTCAGTAATCGCAAAGTCGGAATTCAGGCTGCACACTATACCCAAACCGGTGACTTATCTCTTGCCCTGAAAGTCACTTCGTTGATTGGGCTATCTATCACACACTTCATAGTGGGCGAATTGAACGCGACGTTCTATTTGCTTTCACAAGCTTCCATTTCAACAGCTCAACCTATTTGGATGTAAGTCTCCCTGCTGATCTTTTTCAAATCTTACTGTCATCATTGAAATACATGGTGGCACAACCTTCAGTAGGGAGAGGCGACCATTCAAAGGTCCTTCGTGTGATACTACAACACGGAGAAAGTCAGGCAGCTGTAGAGGGGTTTGTACATACAAAATTCAGGTCGATTGGTTGGTGGGCCTAACTGCTTGATCGAATTCACTTCACGTGTATTGATAATGCCCAGGATATTGTCTTCTGTCTTGTCCGTCATCTGAATGATAGCCCTTGTGAAACTTCAGCTAGTAGATACTCGTCAATCTGTTGAGGTTTCCCTTTCCGATACGGTACCACTCCAAAGGTAAATCGGTTAATTTCGCCCGGGTATAGAACAAGTGAAACTGCCTAGATTTGAAAATATTTAAAGTGTGGCCATCGATCAAATCATAACCCTTCATTGAATTAGGGACTTGTTGTAGGAATGTGTGTTTGTGTGCCTAGGAGCAGACAATAGGACAGATATACAAAATGGTCAAAAGGGGTAGACAACATGTCGGATGTAAGCAATCCATGAAGCGGAGGTCAAGTGTCACGCCAGCCCATTATTTCTTGTTATTGAATGTATAGATTTGTGCGTCAATAAGAAGCCGAGCAAATTAATAATTGAGTAACTTCGAGGACGGAAAATGTCAGCCAGGAAGACACTAAGTAAATGTGGCCAAAAGGTGTGATATGATTCGAAAAGTTCACCCTAGCGTTGAGATGCCAGTGCTACACTTTTCGGATAACAAGATATCGTTGCCTGATGTTATCTGCTAAGTGTGATCGCATTCATAACATCCTAGAACCTAGCGGTCATCTTGATGGCCATACCACTCACCGTAGACTGAGCTTTCACAGGACTCATGCTAAACTAATAGACTGGTTCATCCACTGTTCTGAAGCTGAAAGTTAGTTATTTCAGGAACTGTAAGGCTAACAAATTTTAGTACATTTGTCTAGCACACAAGTTCACGTCGCCACAAAAATCAGAAGTCGTTTTGATGAATTCTTTTCAGTTTTTGTTTATCAGTACGGTGTCAGAAAACGTGGACTTCAAAAGATTGGAAAATGTATAGATTTTGAATAAGTTAAGCTCAGAAATAATTTGTCCGGATAAACAGCTGACATGTTTTGAGAACGGTATGGAAGCTAGATCTCGTCACATTAGCCATTTTCAATGATTTTATCGGTTTCACTTATACTTTTATGAGAACTAGTTGAAGGAATGTCATTATTAACCTCATCATGAATGGAAACCAAGAATATAATCCATAAACTGATTTAGCTTGGCGTTTTAGGTAAAAGTTGTCCATCTTGTATCTTAAATACAATAGTTTTATCTTCTAACTCGAAAGCTTGAGTCCTGCCAGAAACACAAAACTTCGCATTAGGCACGAGTCCCAAAATGTCTAAACACGCAATATTGTACTCGGTGTTTGTCGTTATATATGAGTTCCGCAAAAAGTAAAATTGAATGGACCGCTTTAACTTCAAAGTATATCAATACCATTTAAATGCGATGGATATGTTCGTGATTACCAACAAACAGCACAGGACAGCAGTGCGTACTTTTCTGTCCCTGTTAAGACTCTTATCGCAATTCTTCTGGCTGGGACTTCAAACCCTTACCCCTGAGCTACAGGGTCGACGGTTATCACCCTGTGCCAATAGCTCACTCATTTTAGATAGTGAATGTTTGGATTAGCCCATTCATTTTTTTACAGGCACCAGACACTATTGATGATGTTCATGATTCAAACAGTAGGGAATTAATGATCTCCCAAGGATTGAAACCCACATCCAACATCATCAACAATGCCCGGTGCCTGTGGAAAACCGAATGGGCTAATCCAAAAATTCACCATCTAAATCAATATCATTTATTTCTACAAACGGATTTTGTACTCTTACAACTGATTGTGAATTAAAACCTATTTATCTTGTAATTTTTCACTATATCTTCGTTGACTGAATATCATAATTTGTATCCATTTGCCACCTGTTTCTTGGTGGAAGACATGGATTGCCTTTCGTTTCACTATGGGCGTTAGTCCCAAACCGTGGAATACGTCTTATCTACACTCAACTGTAGTTCACTTAAGCAATCCCCCGAAACAACAACATTCAACATATGTACTCCAGACTGTCAGTAAACAACACGGTGTTATCGTAATTCTGAGTGCCTGTTGGAGAAAGTAATACTCATATCGTGGTCTTGTGTTTTCATTTATGTCACCTCCCGGGGGCCCGTTTGTTTGTTTCACGCAGTTTCCCTACTCTGTGGCTCCATGCACACTCTGTTCCTTCTTGCCACCTTGCCATGAACTGGATAATTCCACCGCTACGCGCCGTATTCCATCATCGATTAAGACTTGGTCAGTTGCTCATGTGGAACTGGACTTTTCTTGTCACCCTGTCGATGGCCCGTTGTACAAATGCATCCGATGTTACAGACGTACCAATTACAAACAACAATAATAACAGTGCATTCCAAGTTGACGATCTGGTGTGTAAAACACGTGTGGCACGGAACGTGAAATCTGTGATCTATATCGGTGAGTAATTGTTGTTTTGAGCTGGATTCACGGTTGTCGTCTACCATTTTTATTCGTCCTGTACCTCACCCGTTCGTGTTGGCCAGTCTAATCGAATGTGGTTAAACGGAACAAGTTTCCCTTTTGATTATGTCTTATATTTTGTGATTTAACCGGTTTCTGTCAAGAAAGTTAAATTTACTTAAAAGTTTGAATATTAATATGTAATTTTTATTCATTAAACATTGCTCATCACTGATGACGGAATTGGAGCAATTGAGTCAAGCCAACTATGGACACAAAACAAGTCTGCTTCATTGTCAATATTTTTGGTTAAAGTGAATTTCAAACGAAGGGTTTATCACATTCATTGGCTGGCAACGAGGAAATTAACACAAAAACGTCTTCAAAAACGAAGGAGTATAGCTGCACAAAAAATCCAAATAGAAATCGGTATGTAACTGCTATTCACCAGTGAAAGTGATGCTAGTAAAATGAAACAATTGGTACTTGAATTCGTATAGCTGTTTGCGCAACGTGTTTGATAAGCAGCAAGGTGACATAGTTGATATAAAATACACTGATTTATCACTTTATTTCACGAGAGCATCGACCAGTGTCAACTAAACGAGATGATTTTCACATGTTGATGATCGATCAAACAAACATAGCGGATTGCGGATTGAGAGATTTAAATAAAAGCATAAATCGTTCAGTCCATGTTTGCGTGAAAATACCAAACAAGAGTAATTACTGGACACGCTCAAAAATCACGTCCACTGGAAAGTAATGTGATATCACAAATCTAATGAGCTCTTCCTCTTCTGACGTGTAAAAGACAACAATGTTTTCTCCGTTAGCATCAATCACAATATGAGTGAACAACAAAGATAGCACAAACAAAAAGTAACATCTAAGTGATTTAAAGTTGGTAATTTGTAGTTGCTCGTTCCTCATGATATATATTCATGTCACGATTACAAACAGATTTATTAGGAGTGATCGGTGTTCCACTGGAATTTGTGGTGGTGGTGGTTTTGCCTTGACTGTTCGTAGTAGTAGAGATAGTAGTCGCGGTATCATTNAGTAGTGTTATTATTCCAGAAGACGGTGCTCATTGAGGTTAATTGTTACTTGGGGATTACTGATGGGACATCACTGATTTGGCATAAATAACACATAAGTCTCATCAGAAACGTACCATCGCAGCTCCCGGTCGCACAATGGGTAATGAATGTAGGAATCGATAGTTATTTTTTGGGATACAGCAATTTTCCCTCGGTGATCTTGTTAATTTTTGATTGTCAAAATGAATCAACTCTGTTGCCTACTACTGACGAATTTTAATGCATCGCAACAGTGGTGGTGGTGGTGGTGGTGGTAGTAGTAGTAGTAGTAGTAGTAGTAGTAGTAGTAGTAGTAGTAGTAGTAGTAGTNGGTGGCCATTTTAGTAATCATCTTCTGCATCCATCGACACTTGAAGTTGACATTTTGTACACTGACACTTCCCACTCTCACCCTGTTTTGCATCATGTTGCTCTGTACTTCGATTTTATGGGCTCCTCATTCCAAGTCCCGTGCCTCGTCTTGCCGGTAACCTGCAACAAATCGCAAAGGTTCTCCGTTGTTCAACCCAGTGTGAAATGTATAGAGAAGTCGATAAAACCCAATATTTCATCATGAAAGCACAAATTGAGGCTTAGATTGATGATAAATTCACTTATATTCCCATACTTAGTATAAGTTGCTGAACAAAGCTGCAGCTTTCAGATTCCTTGTGTTTGAGCATTCAGTCCAACTTCACGCCAGATTGCAGTATAAATTTCTCCTCCTTCAATAAATAAACAGAGGTGTGGTAGTTGCTACACCTTATTGGTTAATAAACTGGCGGCTTTTGCAACGTAGTTAGAATCCTGTATCCCATGAACAAACAGAAATTGTGTATTTTATTCATCTCAAATTTCGATTGACCTCAATGACCTTTTCTCCAGTTAACGATCATGCAGTTAAGTGAATTTTTGTGTTAAAATGACCTTTTCAAAAAGAATCAGCGCGCCCGCTTAATAGCTAAAACTAACGACAACTGGGTCTGTTTAACTGGTTATTTTCTTGGCTAACTTTAGATAAGACTACAAGGGCTTGTTGAACAGGATGGAGTTGAGTGCTTTCCGGCGCTTCCTATGACCACGGAGAGTGAGACCTATCGGAGGTGTTGTTATTATTCGGTAAGCTGCTGAGGGGGAGCTAGGATAGCCAGAATGTGTAGAGCCTTGGAATAGAAGACCTCAAACCTGAGTTCAAGTTCGAGGGCTTTCGGTGGATACGGTTAATCTATTAGAAGGACGAAACCGCTGTATGGTAGCATCATGCTGATTCCACATGACTCTAAGGGCCTTCACATATGGGGTGGTTCACGGGTACATCTATTCCAGCCGAATATTATGCAGTTAGTTTTTCTCAGTTCAAAGTCTTAGTTTGATGGTTGCATAACCAAACAGGGGAGATCCTTAGGATTCGCCTCTTTTGGGTGTTCGTCACACAAAAATATGTAATAAAAACGGAAAATTTCCTTAATAGATGCAGATACAGGGAATGCTGTGATAAACGCTATTAGAATGGAAAACATATCCAATATTGTTTTCCATTCAATTGATCTTTATTCAAACTCAACCTACCCTAGTTATGCGATCTCTTTCTATGAGTGTGTTTGCATCCATTTGTTCCTGTGGAATGACGTACACAGGTCGCACATTTATGCATCCGTCGGAACGGGTTCGTGGTCACCATTTAGCGTGGCTAAACAACGAAACAATTTACCCATTCTTCCATTTGAGTTTTAAAAAGTTCAGTAGCCTTAATGAGATTTGAACCCAAGCATTGACGCCGCCTGTGCTTTTCGCAATTCAAATATCAAATTTAAATCTGCCAAACAACCTAATTGAATAATTAACTCATTCATCATAGAGGAAAATTTCCTGCTGGACGAAATCGAGATATTTCACTTACCTTGTCAGTTTCACGTTAGTATGCGATTATGATCCGTGTTCTTCTACACAGGGCGTTTATGTGTCTGTTGATAACAATCGGATGTACACTTAAACACCCCTCCCCCACCCCCAAAAAATAACAATACATACCGCATATTTAACATAACGACAGATGTCATCGATCAGGTAGAAACAGGTAACTTTAAATTTCACATAAGCTTATAAAATCGAACCCAACTCTATGATGTGTGATTCCCCTCCATTTCACCCTCAGACATTTTCCTTGTTTGACCAAGAGTGTATGAACTTATATGCATTGAATGATTATGCATCAGTGAATACGAGCATACCGACAGTGTCTTCTCAACCTAGTCATCACAGCAAACAGCAGTTCGATAAAATGGAAACGATCAATTTTCGAGTATTGTCTATTCGAAATTCATTTTCCACCTGGGAATCATTCCGGTTGGACCGTTCTTTCCTTCTGCCACGGTGTTTTTTTATCTTTTTCCCAAGCTGTGCTCTGTAGACAGCATATGAGGCTGGATTCGATCGACCGATAACAACAGGAACATCACTGACAGCCATGACTGTGCACCCCCGAACTCACCCCGTCTAAACCCCATCGTTTTTCATCTCTTTCCGCACAACCTAACCCCGTAGCCACCCAGCCCCCTTCCCAAACTAGCGCTTCGTGTTGCTTCCTAAATGCGTTCCAAATCGGCCACTGTTTATGACCGACCGATTTCCTGCATCATTTGTAATAGATAGGCAGTGAGTTGTGGGCATCCACGCACGTATGTGTGTGTTTGTGTGCTTGAATCAATGTGCCTATTATATCTGAGTTCGCATCAACAGTTGATTGACCCAAATTTTTCAATTGACACGGCAGACAACGCGGCAACTCGACAGTCAATTCAACACATCCCTCGGTCAGTCGGTAGGTTGATACTCACGGCTACCCCATAGTACTCTAATGCCTCTGAGACGTCGCGCCATCCGTGAGCAGCTCAGAATCGAGAACTAATTGGCCATGCCAACTGCTAGGCTTATGCACGGGCGTGTGTGAGAGAGAGCGAACGGTCGATCAGGCGTGAACTGAGAGACAGGTACCAGTCATGGTTTCTACTCGCAAATGACATAATTCCGGTTTATCTGTTCACCGTAGACTTAGGCAAGTAGGCAAGTGTTGTCTATTTGCGCATCATGGAGACACGAAACAAGGAAGTTGAGAAGGCACAAAAATGATATGTTCTCTCACGATCAATACTAACTTGGTAATAGATGAGGATGTGGTAAATTAAAAATCGATTACATAGAATAGACTTACCACGAACAACACAGGAATAAAACCCGGAGAGTTGAGCTGTTTTATCGCACTATAATTTCTAGACACACAAGTAGCCAAAACAAGACCGGACAATAACCTAAACAGCTTTCTGCCGCATTGNAATGTCTAACATATTTTCAAAGTTGTCTTACTCTTCTCCAGGCTATAAATGATTTTGCAAACAACCGAAACAGAGATGGTCCAACCAGATAGGTTAATATGACATTGACTTATACGTCGTTTGTTGGAATACCATAGTGGTTGTCTAAATTTGCCGGTATTTATGTCCCTTAGTAGTCCTTAGTTAACTTCCATTTTCTTGAAAATCGATATGTTTTACCATTCAAACTGACTCTTCGTGTGTACACAATGTCTTTTTAGATTGTTCATTTAGATACTTATTCGGCTGTCAGCGGTCTAATGCATTGATTGCTCCATTCTCTTAATTCAGACTCCTTACTGGACAAAACCGTATTGGTGTGATAAGAGGCAATAGCAGTAATGGTACTTCTTTTAATTTCCTTTTGAATCCCACCGGAGGTTTCGGGAAAATATCACATTGGAAAGTCAGGCACATTGAGTCACACGCTGTTCAGTTACCAATCACTGACAGGATTATTCCGATTAGGCACCAGTCCTTCAAAACCTGATTATTTTAATAGATTGCTTTAAGATATATCTTTTATTTTGCTTCCTTTATTTCT